AGCAAAAACAAGTATAAGATATAAACAACTACAAAGTTAATGACTTAGCCACATGAACATCATATAAAAATCTAGGCTATTATAATTTAAATAAAATCATACAATTGAGAATATGATAGTATAAAAATAATAGGATGCACTGGTATCCCGACTTCTTACAATACGAGTTAATATTATTTTTTGTTTTGGCTGTTTTTTTTAAAAAGAATTGCAAACTCACTTAAGACCTTTAACCCATTAAGAAAGCAATAACGTAATCTTATTATATTAGATAATAATAAGTAAGATGAACTTAATAATATGATATACTTAATTTTTTTTACTTTTTGAAAAAAATATATCTTTAAATACTGGTATTTATCGATATCGGAACCGAAACATTAATTTTGTAATTTTAAGAACCGGAGCCCGAAACTTGTTTCGACATTTTTTTCGAATAACCGAATTGGAATAAAAAACGATAAAATCATAAAGGTTCCAAGCCCTTACCTCACATACCGTTATTTATGCATTATCATAAGAAAAAAAAGAAAACCAAGGAAATAGAAACCTATACGTTTGTCTAATATTGTTGRTGACTTGACTCTTTCACTATAGTTGATGAGGAAACGTTTTTTRTAGTGTAACTAAATTTTAAAGTAATAATAAATCTTGACATTCGTCAATTGAAAATTCTAAGATAAAATCACGGTAAACTGACAACAAATATTCAAGATTAGGTCAAAAATAAGTACTAGTTTACAAAATATTTTTTTTTATCAATTTTGGTGTTCATTGTTATTCTTGAAAATAATAAATTCCACCCAAACAATTGAATTAAATGACTAAAAGTTTCCCAAAAAAAGTAATAAATGTCAACTGATTGTTTTTAAATTTTTWRATTATACATCTTACATTATTATAGTTATGACTGATGTTCAAACTAACGTTCAATTTACTAGTTTTAGTTTTAAAATTTCRTGAATTTTCAAAATATACTTGTATTCCTCTCAAAACTAACTGATCAATAAAAAAAGTAATAATTCTTACTACGTGCACCTATCAAAGGGTCAAATACTTTTTTAAAATTTATATTTTGATAWTGTCTTCTGAAACATTAAAGGTATTTAGTTGAAATGTCAGAAGTATTATTTTATTTAAAAACAAGCCCTAATCTTTTAAATATGGATTTAAAAATTTTGAAATTAAAAAAAAAAAATGTAAATTTTGATTACACTGAATTAAAATTGTACATTTGAAAAGTGACTGGGCCGATCTCAAGAAGACATAATAACCAATTCAATTCAGTTTTAAAAAGTTTAATCGCATTATTAGGTCCATATGATGAATAAATGAATAGATAAATAAATAAATGAATAAATAATAAATAATAAATAAATAAATGAAAAAAAAAAAACTGATGGACAAAAGATTGGATTTTTAGTCAAAAAACGGTCGACTTAATTTTGCTCAAGCACGCCACGTTGTACACGGTGACATGTGCATGCGCGTACGTGAGTGTTTATTTATAGTTAGTGGTGGTGCGGGAGTCACTCACACTAATAATCAGTTACTACACACACGTAAYCATGCCTCGAACGCACTAAATAAATAAATTGCTTATATTTAACTCCTTAAAACAGGTCCGTTTCGAATCCCCTTAAATACATATATTGAATACAAATAATAGTACCTTGTAACCGATGTACGTGAGAAGTAGTGATTCGCATAAGGCGAAAACCGCCAGTCCGCATTGTATCACCCACAGCTCCAACGGTCGTTTTACCCATTGGATCGCATCCCAATTGATAATGGGTCTCGCCTGGAACGCCTCGTCCGTCAAATTTCGGCTCCATAGAAATTCGGTTTTGTTTCCCATTTTGCATCCATAACTGCGCATAATGTAAACGAATAGTTTAAGAGTAAGTATATATGTAATACACAAGGCACATTTTTTAAGAATGATAAGAATTGACAAAAATGATACAATTTGATTACGTAAATTGTATACTTTAATCAAATGATCACAACAATAATATATATCTTTCAATATTAATACAATAATTTCTAGCTTACCAAGTTGCGGACGTGGGATCTTGATCGAGTACGACGCGGACGATATATAAAACACATGTTAGTAGTTTGAAAAATAAATTTGCGATACGAATACGAAGACCTATAACAAAAATCATAGTGGAATATYAATTCCAGAAAATATTTATATTTTAGAAGGGAATTTAAATTTAAATTAATTAAAAAATTAATTAGAATCCAAAAAGTATAACACCTTAAGATATATTTGAGACGTATACACGTTAAATTGATATAATGTATAAATTAAAATATTGAAAAAAATGACAAAGATCACAGACAATAACTTCTATGTGCGAAGCGCATATGATAATGAATAAACCATATTTAGAGAAGAAAACATAGGAATAAGTACAATTGGTAGATTGTAAATTGCCTTGAGAGTTAAGACTTAAATAGCTGTTTTTAATGATTCATTAAATCTAGGATAACATCAGACGAAAATCAAAATCAAATTTGTTCAAAATGTTAACGTATTATGTATGGGAATACTTTCAAATACACATATATAATAAGTCTATAAAAATAATGATAATATAAAGTCCATAAGTGTTTTAAAAAATAAAAATAAATAAATAAATAACTATAGTCTATGACATAATAATGTATATACCTTAGTAAGTTGTGTATACATGTTAATTTTTCTAACAGGGGATATCTAATTATTATTTCGAACATTTTATTTCGTGATACGTGTAATCCTTATATTTTACATATTATTTCCCCTAATTTTTGTTGTTGAAGCCACTAAAAATAAACTTTTGATTTTTAAATGGAATCTGTATTTTATATTTTTATATCTAAAATAATGTTTTGCACAAGTATAAATAGGTATCATAATATTGTTTAAAATAAATCATATAGGTATATTTTTTTTTTTGCTTTAATAAGCTTTTTTAGTTCAGGTGCATGAAGGCCCATGAAGTATCGCACAGCACATTTTGAGTGTATCCTTTGCCCCTTTAAACATCTTTTATAAGCTTATACAATACAGGCTAAAACACTTATACATAAAAAACAAATTTTTCCACATTCGTTATTTATGTATCAATATGAAATGTATAAATAAGTGTTCTGCTTCAGACTATTAACCTAAAGTTGAACGTGGAAAATAAAAAGTTTACTATATGACTACGAATATGAGTGCAAAAAAATATGGACTATAAGTCTATAATATATAGTTTTAAAATTATTACTCTTTTCTTATATTTATTTACTATTTTTTTTTTTGAAAAAAATATGTATACAATAGTCAGTTCTTTTTGAAATGAATTTGATTAGTTGTTAGAAGGACGAAGTTGTATATTAAATGCATCATACAGTACTTAATATATATTAAAYATATGTATATAAATTAAAAGTTGCAGACTAATATGTAATATTATCATTATTTTATTCTAAATTCAYCACATTTTTAACGTTTTTGTTATTTATTACTTAAACTATATTATTATGTAGAATAMAATTTGATAACTAATATAGGTATTATATTTTATAATAAATTGAAATATGGTACACAATTGGTTTTAAGAAAATTTTATAAAAAGTATTTATTGATTCTTTATAAAAAAAGAATTATAGAATGGGAAATTTGTTTTTTGCAGAAACTGAAKTGAATAAAAATATATTGTTATTRTATAAAATAGCTATTCTTTAAATACTTTCTTTTGAAACTGTCTACAGTTTTTTTTTTACCACAACTTTTGTTTTAGAATTTCAGAAATAGTTATACATAAATTATATAACGAAGTATACCATATTAATAATTGATATTCGTTTTCAAATATTTTTTTTTCATGAGTAGGTACTTACTTGAGCGTTGGTTTTTAATGAAATATATTTGTAAACGTTCTTTGAATGTATTTTCGTTAACGTAATATTCCACTCGTACCCTATAAAACACATACAGTTATTATAAATATATTTTTATTAGTGTACTATTATGCAGTAAATACTTGGTTTATAAGAAAATCATGTTCATATTATATTTGTTGTATTTTTAAACGACTTTATAAAATCTAAACTACTATACATATAATTATAATATCCTACTATACTACCAGAGAACAAAATTAAACACAAATGCTTTTTAATAATAATGTTAATTCTTTATTTAATGAAAATAAATTTAATTTACAATTAATATAGTATAATRCAATATGGTAATAATAAGTTGATAGGTACAGTAATAGTAATAATAAAAACAGACTTAGATAATAATATAAGCACAAAAGATTCGAAATTCGACTCTTTATTGGATTTATTTTTAAGTTCATATTTTGCAGTAGTTCAGAGTTCAATCATATTATATATCTTATTTTATACAATAATATTAACTTGAGCTGTACAAACCGTTATCCTAACGTTTGCAAATTAAAGAAATAATTTATTGTTACGTCATAGGGAGAATAAGAAGATGCTCTTTAATTTATGACATTGGAAATATAAAAATCTTATGAAGTAATTTAGGATTTTGTGGATATATTGTTACTGTGTTATTAAATAAATTGTGCATAGTAAAAATTWGGAAGGACTAAAAATGTATATGAAGTTATTGAATGCAGATTTGCTTTTAAATTATCAACAAGTATCCTAATTTTGCAAAAGATTAATTTCTAATATAATTTTTATAATCTTCAGATTAAAGCTTGATATCAAATTTTTCTCATAGATTAGGTAATGTAGTTAATTCTTGATCAGTTTATCATTGTTCAAAGAATAATCAAATTTTATAGGCATTCTTTTCAAAGAGAAGATAATAGTAGAAAATTTACTTTTATTTATTTTTGTTGTGCTAGTAGACTTAATTTACGAATACAATTTATTCTAGCTGATAATAACTGTTTCTAGTAGCTAGTAGGTATTTTTTAATTAAATTGTCTTAGAGATTTATTTTGATTTAATAAAATAAGTTAAATGTAATTAATAAAGTTGATATGAGAATACTGAAAATTGTAATATAGTTTCAGAARAAGACGAATTTGTAAAGGCGCGACTTAAACCACATGTAAATGTATTTTTGGTATACTGTTTAAATTATTAAAATTATGAAATCCACTTTTTACGTTTATAGGGATTTTATCCAAATACTTGGATATATCTATA